GTCACGGCCCAGCTCTGAATCGAACGAGGGAATTCTGCGAGTAAGTCCGATTTGAACAAGATAAGTAGCAGACGCGCAACCATGCGCCACCGAGCCGATACAAGCATGTAAGTTGCCCGGCCTTCTATCCATCGGGATGACTGACAGACAAAATTATTTTCAGCGCACAATCAAAGAGACTGAGCCCCCTGCGTGTTTGATCTACCTCCTCGGTCCCAACAGGTTGCCCACATAATTGCAGAGCTAGTGTGGACGGTTCTCGACTCAAAAAAATAAAAATAAAAAAATAAAAAAGGAACGGCCAGGTCCCGAATCGAACAGGGTTCTTCTGCATGAGGTTCCTTCCGAATCAACACCAGCAGACGTGCAGCCATGCTCCACCGAGCCGATAGTATATGCCCCAGTGCCAGCGAGTAAGTACACAACAATGAACATCAGACTTTTGACATTTTGATTGCCGTCTTTGATCTGTTTTTTGGCATTTTTGCATTGTCCACCAAAATCATTCGGAGTCATACATAGGGTTGGGACAAGGGGTGCTCCTGAAATTGGGCACAATAATTGGGATCCTAGTGGGGGGTTCTCTGAGAGGTTGAAAGGTGTAACACTCACTGCCCGTTTTGACGGTATCAGCCGGAGTCGGTCCGGTGTTGTCAAAATTTCGCCAAAAATTGTTGGCGGTGTCACTTCCAGTGATTTGGGCTGTTTTCACGCATTTTTTGGTGTTGTACAACACCACAATCAAAATGTCAAAAGTCTGATGAAGATGGACATCAAACGCGGTGGACGTGAGCGCACTGCAGCATCTGGAAAACCATAGCCGAGATGTATTTATGGGGTCTATGCGAGCCTATGCAGCACTGTATAGCGCTCCATAGTTGCTCCATAGTGGGCCACAGGTACATCACAGCCACATTTTGCTATGGAGTGCTACAGAGTGCTATGGAGTGCTATGCAGCAACTTCTGGTTTTCCTGATGAGCGTCAGGCAAATCTATTGATCTCGAGATGTTGATCGCAGGAACCGCATCGAGGAGTCTCCTGACGCTAAGGAAAAGAGAAGAAAAGAAACAAAAACAATTATCTATTGGCCCGGCCCCGAATTGAACGGGGGACGTAGTGTCGCTCGGAGTTGACACTGTACAAGAACAGCGGACGCGCCTCCATGCGCCACCGAGCTGATGCCATGCAATGCCATGAGGCAGGTGAAGGATCCACTTAAACGCGGCGCAATTCCGAGCTCGATTGTGAAGTTAAGGAGGCCATCCAGCCACACCACACACCTTCTAACCACCTCACATTGACTCTGAAGGTACAGAATCAAAGGTGTCTGCAGGAACAGGCCTCGTTCTCCAACATCGGGAGAGGGAGCAAAAAAAAAAAAAGGACGACGAATGGTTCATGGCCCAACCCGTCTCGAATGGGCGTACCCCCTGAAGCCGAACAAGGCCCTGCTAATGATCATATAGCACAGGTGCAGCGCTATCGAGCCGTATCCATCTACTCTTGAACTCGAATAGACCTCGACCCCAAACTCACGGGTGGCTCTACGATATTTTAGCCACCTCCATCGAGCCGACGTCCGCAGAATCTTGAACTTGAGTACGATAGCTTCCGGACGGAAGTGTAGAATTTTGTGGAAATGTTGTCCATATTTATTTCCTCCAGGAAAAGAACAAGAGACACACACTCCAGCCCGAACAGGAGAAAAAACGCAACAATATCCTATAACGGCTCGACCCCACATTGAACGGGTGGCCCTGCTTAATCGCTGTTGGCTATATTGCGCAGGTGCGGTACAACGACTTCTATCGTTATCAAGCCAGTATTTGTCTTGTCATCTTTGAACATATGCCGCTGGCACCCTCGGCTGATATTGTATCTTCCATGGAGTTCATTGCTGAGCCTTTAGGTTTGGCTGCCCTGGAGAACATCGATTTTGCGTATCAGTTTTTGATCTGTTTGTCATGAAGAATTGGTCATCCCAGTGGAGAAGGGATGCAAAACAAGTAAATGAAGTAAGGAAAGAGAGAAACAAAGGAATTGGCTCCCCATGAAAAAAGAAGCCTTCTTATTGATCCATCTGTCTGTATGCCACTTCGTTCTATTATAATTCAAAAGATTGAGCCCATCAACTTTGTGTCATAGTCATTTCTGCTTACTCACCCACCTGGTCTGAATCAATGCCAAAGATCTCTCGCTGTCGCAATATCTTGTACCTTCTGCACAGCCCCAGGCACCGCTGCCCACCCAGACATATTCTCATCCATTACACGGCAGGGCAGGAGTCGTTTTCCTGCCGTCTGCCTCGTCCCATCCATTGTCCTCGAGTCATCCTCCCTGCAGACAAGGCAAGATTTATGCGGGAGATTTATCGGAGCACGTCAGTGCTTTCATACCTGTCCAAGTGTATTAATACTGTACCATTGTTGTTCCAACTCTGTATTTCCAAGCCGTGCAATACTAGGATTATTTGATGGGTGCCTGTTTGATGTCTCTTCAGTAGAAGTCACGATAAATAGAAAAGGATTGGTTCCTCCCACCTAAAGGTTCAGCACCTGCCTCGAAGAGGCCCAATCCACGTCATGTTGAATCTTGTTGATATCCTTGCACCCTGTTAGCGCCAGCCATCACTGATTCGAGCACAGCCCCACGGGCCGAGCGTCTCTTGTCTTCTGTTCTGCCGTGTTCAAGTTTCAACAGACTATGGTACACACGCGCCATCAATGGCACGTCGCTGTGGGTAATTCCACTTTATGAAAGTATCAACGTATCCACGCGATCCATTGGTAATTTTCTTTTTTGGAACGGGCACTTATTGACTGATGATAGACCGTCCCACGCGCATCGAAGGAGAATCCCTAACCCAGAAGACAAGAAAAGGAAAGAAAATGAGAAAAATACAAAGGAAGACGTTCTGTCTCATGGCCCGTCCCCGAATCGAACGGGAACCTTCCGCATAATAATAAAGCTTCCTAAAGAACAGCGGACGCACAACCATGCGCCACCGAGCCGTACCATGGGCAGATGAAGGATCCACGAGGAAAAGAAAAGAAAGAAAATGGGAAAAAGGCACAGTGCCCAACCTTCATGGCCCAGCCCTGAATCGAACGGGGTCTTCTACATGAAGATGATTCTTCTGTCGGAACACCAGCAGACGCGCAACCATGCGCCACCGAGCCGATACAAGCATGTCCTCCCTTCTATCCATCGGGATGACTGACGTACAACATTATTTTCAGCGCACAATCAAAGAGACCTGAGCCCCCTGCGTGTTCAATGTACCCCCTCGGTCCCAACAGGTTGCCCACATAATCGCACGGGTGGTGTGGCCGGTTCTCGACTCAAAAAAAAAAAAAAAAAAAAAGAATGGCCAGGCCCGAATCCAACAGGGTTCTTCTCACTGCAGGCAAGTGCCATGGCCGTGGGTTCATGGCATTTGATTGGCGTGGGACCGACACTTGCCATGGCGTTGGCACGGCGTTGCACATACGATCAGTTTCCCTTTGTTCTTCCTTTCAGGATCAAGCCAAGACCGGGCCGGTGTAGGTTCGGAGCAAGCCCGTGCAGCTCCGGCCCTTCACTGTAGGGGCTTGCTTCAGACTGTGTAGGGCTGTACGCTGTGCCCACGGTTCTACGGGCTAGGTGCGACGGGTAGCCGACCCGTTCCGTCGAGGCCTTTGAAAAAATTTCGACGGGACGGCAACGGGACTTACCGAGCTCATATCTCGCTCACTCGACGGCCGTCGACGGGCGACGGATTTGACAACAGTGAGCACATAAATCATCCAATTTTTAGTGGCTTTTTAAGTTGAAATTCACTGCTCTAGTGTTAGTCTCTTCATAGAAGTGGTGTGAAATGATTTGGGGATTCACCACCTCAATTCTATCTCTTCCGTCACACCCCCGTCCCGCCGGTGCAGTGTGACTCAATCGAGTTGCAAACTCTCGACTATGAGTTGAGTGTTTTTGTTGGAGTTGTGGTCCTCGCTCCAACCTTTTTTTTTACAGCTCAAAAATGCTGTCGCATACGCCACAAGCTTCATCCGAGGCTCCGGCATGTTCTACATTATATTCAATAACATCAATATCTTTCATCCGAAGTCCCAACAACGACTATTCAATAAAAAATCCATGATTCACGCGATGAACACTGCGGGTGTGTCCCTCCCCAACGCCAATCCTGTGGCCGCCGATCTGAATCCAAAACTAAAGGCATGCGGGGAGTGTGCAGCTGCGACAGGGGCGGACATACTGCCAACTGAAGATGATGCAAAAATGCTGTCGTCATTCAGAGGGCTTGTCATGACTCTCCTCCTCGCATACTGTCCAGGCAGCAAGGAATGGGAGGATCATGACCTCATGCTGAAGGCAGCAGAGGACGCGATGGAGTCCGATAGACCCTTGTCACCTGAGAAGTCGGACGGAAGACCCTTCGGAATTTTTAACGCCAACGAGGGCTCGATGCTTAGAGCGTTGCAAGGAATCAGTGGGCTGGGAGTTGACACAACTCAGTAAGGAGCTTTGTGCGATTGAATGGAAGGGTGTATACCCACACCGGAATCTGATGTAATTTGAGTTTTCACGCTTTCTATATTGTGTTTTTTTTTTTGGCACCTCGGCGGCCCGGCCCGATTTTTGATCGCATGTGCAACGCCGTGCCAACGCCATGGCAAGTGTCGGTCCCACGCCAGTCAAATGCCATGAACCCACGGCCATGGCACTTGCCCGCAGTGTCTGCATGAGGTTGATTCCGAATCAGCACCAGCAGATGCGCAGCCATGGGCCACCGAGCCGATAATATATACTCTAATGCGAGCGGGTAAGTACATAACGACGAAGTTGGACATCAAACGCGGTGAACGTGAGCGCACTGCAGCGTCAGTATCTATTGATCTCAGGAGGTTGAGCGCAGCATGGTCATTGAAGGAGTCTCCAGTCCCTGATGCCAAGGAAAGAAAAACAAAGCAAATGCCAAAAATGACAGTACCAGATATCTAATGGCCCGGCCCCGAATCGAACGAGATTCTTCTGCATGAACTGTCTACCTCCAAATTAAACAACACTAGCAGACGCGCTGCCATGCGCCACCGAGCCGATAGTATTTGCCCCAATGCGAGCGAGTAGACAACATTAAACGACGAAGATGGACATCAAACGCGTTGAGCGCACTGCAGCGTCAGTCAAATCTGTTGATCTCAGGAAGTTGGCCGCAGCACTCGCATCGAGGAGTCTCCAGTCCGATGCTAAGGAAAATAAAAGACAACGCGAAAAAAAGACATACACAACCTCATATGCATGGCCCGGCCCCGAATCGAACAGGGTTCTTCTGCATGAGGCTTTTTCCAAATTAACAACAGTAGATGCGCAGCCATGCGCCACCGAGCCGATAGTATCTGCCCCAATGCGAGCGAGTAAGTACACAAACAACGAAGTTGGGCATCCAACGCGCGTTTATAGCTGGCTGGCTTGGGCGGCTTGCGGCTTAGCTGAGGCTCAGCCGCGGCTCAGGCAGCACTTGTGGCCATACAAGGTCCCACCACTCCTACGACCTTCAGACACTTGATTCACCCCACAACAACCTCGGCGCTTGACGAAATAGACGGTTCGACGTGAAATTGTTATCGGATGTGCCGTACGATTGTCAGATCTGCTGTCTCCGACCAATATCTTACCTTTTATCCCGCTGCACGCGCTAGAAAGGATCCCCAAGGCTGTTTCGAGTCCTCTGAGCGCTCATCTACGCCACCCTTCATCTACCTTCCACTGCAGTGCATTCGTGGGCCTTTCTTGGCTTCTGGACTCGGGCACCAGGTCCTAGCTTTCGTAGTATCAACGACGCGCTAAAACACGGTGCGGGACATCGCGCAATGGCCAGCGGCTTTTCTGGGTCTTCTCCATGTCTCAACCTGCCAACTTTCGTTCTTTCCCAGCAAAACAGCGGTCCATGGTGATGTTTGGAGATTAAGGATTTACCTGGAAACTGTGTGCATCTCACAATTCCCTTTTCTTTCTCTATGCTCACAACGACCTGCGCACCGTCCAGCGCATACATCCTGTGCATAAATGTCACCCGGATACTCCATGCCAAGCACCTGCTGTGCGCGCCACTGTCTACCATCTCCCACATCAAGCTCTCGACATCCGAGCTCAGAGCAGTGCCAGTCAACGCTGCTGCATCCGCAGCCGTGGGACGTCGATAGATGCCTGGCACCGATGCGCTGCGCGACGTTTTCTAGGCCATTGCACGGCAGGATAGTGCACAGACGCGCACGCACCAGAGGGTGAGCTGCGTGTCTCAGTGGAGCTCGCAAGCTCCCATGATCGGGACGTTCGGAGTTGAGCTGCGTGCCTTTTAATACTTCTCTCATCCTCCTGGTGTCCAACATCGATAATTTGATTTAGCCTGCCCGACCACGCTAAGCGTCGTGCAAGCCTCGTGCCCATGAACAAGAACACCATACGGGTAAGCAGCTCTTTCATCTCAACTGTTGAACATGCCTCATTTTTTTCTACCAAAAGCGAGTGTTGCTATGCACATCGGTCATTCCATGTATTCTTTTCTGCCAAGCATACTAAATTTTGCGCTTAGGCACAAACCATCGCCACTTATTGGGCCTCTAGTGCTCTGCCCAAACTACCGCGGGACCCACATCAGGAAAACCCTCCCGAGGAATTTTTTGGAAAAATTTGTTGTGGCCACATATTTTTTGATATTCTTGCAATTTTTGACTACTTTTGTGCAAATTCTTTGTAAAGTAGCGCCACACCAGATATTATTCTCATAATTTTATCAGGAATTTTCAAGGAATTAGCAATTTGGCATTCATTGTTGCTGAAATTTTATGCCACATGTTGAACACAGAGCAATGTTATACTCAGTCGACAATACGGCAAACAATATTCCTGACAGGAATCAAGTTTGCTTGGGGGTAACTGGTTGCAGTAATTCAAGGCGGGTTGATCTGAGAAATAAATATCTGGGCTGCGTGAACTTGAAAACCCAGGAAAACATCTAAGTCCATTGCTGAGAGTGTGGTAAGGCCATCGGAAACCGGTGTCCGAGGACCTGGATAGCCGACTAAGCGGGGCACACGTGCGTCAGAAAAAGTGGTTCGAGTCTGTATTTGGCAGGACAGACAACAACTGTAAACAACTCTTTCTTCCTTTCCCCCATCTCTCTTCTCTCGTCCCTCCTCCACTCGCACCATCCTGCTTCGTTGCAAGCTTCCCCACTTCTCCCCTGCCATCCACTTGCCCAGTTCCTGGTGCTGGAATGTTCTTTGCTCTGGTCTCGCTGCGTGTGACTCGTCCCTTCTGACACCTTGCTTCTCTTCCTGGCGGCGTCTTGTTCTCGACAGCTCAGAAACCACATGTGGTGTGTCGCATCCCCTGATAGCTGTCCCAATACTGACCTCTTCTTTCACAGGCACGCCCCGTGAGCACATGACACCTCCCTCAGCGTGCACTACGTCTTCCTGCGCTGCAGCTCAGTATCTCTGCGTCTTTGGCGGTGTTTCAGTGCGTCTTCTTTCCTTGCTATCCTTGGACCCCTCCCCCTCAACCACAACTGACTCCCGGTGGTAGATTCCGCTGCCCGTGTCATCCCCACAACTCCTAGCTGAGTGTCAGTCGTCACCGGCTCGGTCTGCTTCACGCCTCCACCCTAGCGCTGTTTATATTCCTTGACTCCTAAGGCTTGGTCAAGATTGGATCATCTTGTGCCCTGACCAACGGCTTTGGCATTCAGGTATGTACCCCTTCCACCGCTTCTCGCAGCCCATAATACCGGGTCCTCACTAACTTCGCCATTCATTGACAGGTCCATCTCAGTTGCCCATGGTTGTGGCTACCAGGTGCGTACCCTGTCCATTTATTTATGCTGCGATTATCGACTGACTACCTCCTACAATAGATGTGAATATCCTCAACGAGGCTTTAGATACAATATGTTATAATGTTACGTAGTAGTCTTAATAGCATTTTTTGGCCTTTTATCACTGGCGGTGTCGATCTGGGAACAATATTACATCAAACTTGAGACATATTTATCCAAAAAATGAGCACAACCACTGGCCATATTACTGAGAAATGTGGTATAAGTTCCAAAAATTCCGGCCGAAGACAAATTTTGGGTAAATTTTGCCTACTCAAGAAACTGAAGATATTTTTGATAAATTTCTGTGAAAATGAGCTAAAATACATGGGGGGGGGGTTTCCCTGATGCAATTGGCGGTAGCTGTAAACGGTGGGGTGGGAACACTCGACTACGCCAATGTTGAGTCGAACCTCAAAGGGCCATCAGACGCGGAAGTCGCAATTGCGGGTTGGAGCCAGAGCGGATTTCTATCGGCGCGGGGCTGCACGCATCGAGTTCCTTCCAGAAAGCAGCCGTTTTGGCGCAGGGCCTGTAGGTAAGTGTATTCACATTACGATTCTGATCTTACTTCAATTTCGGTATACAGAGTGGTCTCGGCGGCTCCGTGCCACGGTCTCCTGGTCCGCCGCATGATCTGCTGGGAAGCCCGATTCCGAGGTCAAGAAGAGCCGCCACCGTCCCTATTGCCGTACTCGACGAGGCTGGGCGTGAGCCTCCGTTTTAGTGCAGCGATCGATGGCAGCGTATTAAGGCGACATCATGCAGGATCGTTCACTTGGTTCTGTGTATGTATTCTCGTGAATAGACCATGTTATTCAGTTTCTCGTGTGCAATTGAGAGTTGGAGATATCATGGGATGCAGGTATGATATATATTTTGAACGGGGCAGCTATAGTCACCCGCTCGCATGAAGATTGGTTGGTTGAATAAACAGATTTTTCATTGGCATCTGGAGACTTTTGCGCTCGGGATGCGGTCTCGCTCAGTCTTCACCAGTTTCCCTCACGGTTTTTTATATCCTACTAGTATACATCTGTAGCTTTAATTTGAGCCACCTCCGAAGGGAATCGAGAGGGAATTGAGCCCAAGCGAGCCGATTTATCGCTTATAGTCCATCATCACCCCAAGTCCGCTTACGGTATTAACTTTCTTGTGGCACGCGGGTTGCCATGGGAAACAATACATTTAACCCAAGAGTTCTCTGCAGTAGGGGAGAGCACCACACAACATATAGAGTGCTCAAAAGACCAGAGTGAAGCGGCCTGTTGGCGCATTCAAAAAATGGCCTGAAGCCGCGGCTGAGCTGGGCTCAAGCCGGCTCCAGACGAAGCCGAGCCACTCATAGCCGCTGTGGGAACGGCTGGCTCGGCTCGGCTAAACTTCGGCTCGGCTCAATCGGCTAGCCGAGCCGCGCCGAGCCGCGGTAACACTATGTAGCCGCAGGTAGACGTACGTAGACGGGGGTCGGTCTACGTTGCGGGAACGCAGTGTAAGATAACGGGTACCTACATCGTGAGCTGAGAGCGCTAATTGACGCGCGCATCCGAAGTTTGGGGTTGAAGATTCCATAAGTGTCGTGAAAAGGCTTCTGATTATGAATAGGGTGAGAGATGAAATGTATGGAATGGGAGAAAGGCACAGTTAACATGTGGTGTAGATCAAAGGAAGCTGTAGCAGCTCCACAGCCGTAAAGATCTAGATCCCAGTGAGGCGCCGTTGAATTGAAAACACCATTGGACTGATCAGACAACAAGCGGAGGGCAGATTTTGAAGCGCCGTTAAAGGCCTCAGAGAGACATGAATAATTTTATAAAGGGGGTGATTTTCAGCGTCTAAGTAGTCGAAGCTACAGAACGAAGCTCCTCGCGCATTTGCGAGAGTCTACTATGGAAACACGAGTGGCGCGCCAAGCCATCACATCAACAGACGGCAGCACTTGAGTGAAACCGGGTATCACGGATCTAGCGCCTCAAGTCGGTATAAAAGAGGTGGCCGTTTCAATTGATGATCCCACGAAGGTTATGGCATCCCATTCTGTGCGTATCAGACTGCTTACTTTGGATCAACTTCAAGTTGCTGAAGTGTTTCTGGACCAGGACTCAGTGCTGAATTCAATCTCTTATGAAGATGAGAGCAAGGCCGAGTCTGGAACAGACTCATCTGAGGAGTGGGAAGATGATGATGTTGACTCAACCAATGTAAGTGAATTACAGAAATACTAGCTTGAGACTCATTCTGGGTCAGGACTTGGAAATAAGACAGGTGCAAATGCTCATCCAGAAGGCACCAGAAGGTCATCCAACCCTGCTAAATTTGCATTTGGTATTGGGAGAATTATTAGATTCAAGATATGAAGAGACACAAATTATAGATGATCTTCAAGCAGCATTGAGGCAAAAACAGAGAGCACTTGCACTCATACCCTCAGATTATCCCTTGCTACGTGACTTCCTAGAGAGTCTTGCCATCTCATATAGCCATCGATATCAGAGGCTGGATAATCTGGCAG